TCTGTACGGGGATCAGTAAGGGTCGAAGAAGTTACTAACGACTTAGTAGATGGTAGATAGTGTGTTATGGCACTATGGTTCATTTTGTAGCATGTTTCCATCCCTATCGATTGTATGATTAAGGTTAGAGAATTATTATCGTAGTTGTTCGGGCCTAAGTGACAATGGTGGTTTGGGTCCGAATGGTGCAAAAATATGCAAGATGATTGATTTTAAGGACTAGAGGGCCTTGTTCGAGATGGTACTAGATTGATTCATGGGACTCGACAAGGAAGCGATTATAGTGATTAATACACCATGAATCATTTTGCAAAGCATGTAAAGATTAAAAAAGCCATAGAAAAGAAAATATTACAACCTTTGAAGTCTTTGATTCTCAAGGGAAATGGAAGTTGATGAAGTGAGACATGAAGCTCCAAAGTAGAAGCTCTCTACAGGTATACACCAAGCAAGAGTAAACCACTAAAACATGAAAGTTTTCACTTGTATTAAGTTATCCTTAATACTTAAAATTTTAAACCAAATAAACCTTAAAACTAGAAGCAACTTAATCATTCCAAACATGCACGGAATTGCAGGAGATGGAGAAGGAAGAGAGCTCCACGAGTTCACAGTTTATGGGATAAAATGAAAAAGAGAATAAGTAATAAAAAACTAGCTAGTTTTTGTCACTCTTTCTTCTTTATATACTAAGAGATATATACTTGAGTTAATGATAGTCATAAAGGAATGTATGGTCTTTCTTACAAGCATGGAGTGCAAGAACAAAGACCAACACACAATATATGGCATGAGCTAAGGGCCACACGGTTTTGACTAGCCAAAGTCAAAACTAGATTGTCCTTTATAGTTTACTTCCAACTAGTTAGTTACATGTGTAATTATATGATTACTCAAAGTGTACATTTAATTTTACATGACTTATATATTCGTACAAAGTTTTTGGAAGCCCTCATCGCGTGGTTACCTAATTGTTTCCATCACCAAAAATGTGCGAATCAGAGATGATGCTCATCCACTAGGTGGGTTCGGTGTTGATGAAAGAATAAAGAATGAAGAATCATATAAGGATTTTTGACGATGTAAGAGATAAACAAACATCAACCTAGTAATATGAAATGAGAAGATATTTACTTACCAAAATATATGACGTATGGAAATAAAAGTGTAACACACGTATTGGATGTGACCAATGTTGGCAAATCAATGTTGGAGGGTGGTGGTGCTCCGATGTTGTGGCGGTGGTGTTGGGGTTTCAAATGTAGGGACCACATAACTTTTCACTAAAAGATCGAGAGTTGTTGTATGTGGTGCCTTAGGGCTAAGATTGATAAAGGTGTTTCACCAAAAATTCGTGATATCAACCGTTCATTAGGCGGGAAAAATTAGTAACCTCCTTTTACAGTAAAACAGAGAGTGGCTAGATAAGTGGAAACAAATTCAATGTATCTTAAAAATAATAAATTCCTAGTCAATTACCGTTATTAATTTGAAATCGTATTAAATATATGTCTAAAAACAATCATGCCTTATGGAATATGAAATTTATTGATACATTATCATATGGTATTTTTTATTTGCCATATTCTAGTAGTTACTCATATACACAATAAAGGTTGAAATTAGAAACACATGTGGTTATCAAGGAGTCCAGTTGCTGTATCGCAACCGGAAGACCTTCAAACATACGGGTTCAAAAGATCAAGGTGTGAAAATGGAACTATGACATATACCACTATAACCCCTCAAAATGCACACCAACCAGGCCCGAACCTGACATGTCTAAGGCCTTGTGTGAAAATCAAAGTGAGGCCCCTTAAAAAATATATAAAATATTATTAATTAAATTTTCTATCACTAAATTCAAAACACAAAGTTGCTAACAAACATCTCGTAAATTCATTACAACGACATCATGTTTTAACTCATTAGATGTTCTAGTTTTTAGAATCATATACGTTCACTGGAATATCTTCTTTGTCATCATCATTACCATTCAAGGTGGCTATGTCGTCATTTATACAAGGCATATCTTGTGGCACTTGCAGTTCAAATTCTTCTTATTTAGGTTCTTCCACAACATCATAAGCTTCTTCTCCGTTTTTTTTTCACATCTTCATGAGCGTCATCCATGTTTCTGGTACACGTAATTCAACTTCTTCTACTTTATGTTCTTTTACAATTGATTCTTAATTATGATGGTATTCAATTATTTATTTGACGATGAATTAATTGATATATCATCTTTAACTATGAATAAATTGTTATTATTTTCGTTTCCTTTTATATTTAGAACAACACCGTTCAAATTTTCTAGATAGAGACATCTTTTTTTCAAAAAAAAAAA